TAATGGAAAAGAATCTGAAAAAGAATACATACATATGTATGTATATACATCTGAATCACTATATGTATATAGTTTCTGAATCAGAAACTAACACATTGTAAACCAACTATACAATTAAAAAAAAAAAAGTAAAAATTCTAAGAAACACCACATAGACAAACAAATGATATTTGAGGCTTGTGTGGCTGTCTGTGACATCTTCACATGCATTTGAGGTGGTAAGCATTCCTCACTAAATCTGAAATTGAGCAGGACCCTGCGGGACACTCCCAGGTACAACAACCTTTCCATGTCCCCTGTTTCTTGTTTGTAGAAAAAGGGTTTTAGTCTCCTAGACCTTCCCTGAGTTCCAAAGAGCAGATTCAAGCAGCTACTAATCAGGGAAGTGAGGGAGTGCAAAAACAAAGAAAAAGCAGCCAACAAAAAGCAGTTCAGCGATGAAACAGAGTCCTAGCTTCTCAGGGGATGTACACAACAATCTGACACATGTCTTTGAGTTGTTCTGCAAGAACTAAGGCTCCCACCCAGATGGAGGATGGTGAGGACATGCTGAGACCCCAGACTGGTCAGAGCCAGGAGGCTGATGGTTGAGATTCCTGGGACACCACCCTGTGACCTCACTACCAACCAATCTGAAGAAAGTCATGCACCCTGCAGCCGGCACCCAAATGTTGCCTTTAAAAACTATTCCCTGAAAACCACTGGGAGGTTCTGGTCTTTTGAGCAGGCGCTGCTTATTCACCTTCTTGGCCCTGCAATAAAACTTTCTCAGCTCCACACTCCAATGTTTCGGTTTGTTTGGCCTCACTGTGTGTCAGGTGCGTGACCTTTGGGTTCAGCAACAAGGGCACTTCCCACACCGGGCTTTACGCTCACACTGGGTCTCCAACCACACACAAGCAAGGCTGGGAGGTCATCCTGAGCCATGTTAGTCCAGGGCTCAGACCCAGTTGCTCCTCCTGGAAGCCCATGATGATGAACATTAAAGTGGCAACAACTTTCATAGTTGCAACCCATCACTCCTAGAATGTGGGTTCTTCAAGGATAATGGTCTTGTTTTAGTAATTGCCACTTTTGTTTGTTTGGGGGTTTTTTTGGCCGCACCATGCAGCATGCAGGATCTCAGTTTGCAACCAGGGATCGAACCTGTGCCCCTTGCAGTGGAAGTGTGGAGTCTTAACCACTGGAACACCAGGGAAGTCCCGTAATTGCCATTTTTATGTACGTGTGCGTCTATTGTATGCCAGGTGCTTTATGTCAACCTTGGTCATACATTTGAACCATCTGGGATTAAAAAAAACAAACAAAAACCAACCTTGGGTCCCACCTCCAGAGATTTAGGTGTACTTGGTCTGGAGTATGGCCTGGCGATTGGGAATTGTAAAAGCTCTGCAGAGAAGTGCAGTGTGCAGTCCTGGCTGAGAATGATGGCCTGATGGTCTGGACCATTTAAAATTTTACAATGGCTCTTCTCCCAGAGGTTTCTATTTCTCCCAGATGGTCTGAGAGTTATTAGACTCAAGAATGCTGACCACCTGCACTTTGTATTACTTTAACCTGATTTCTTGTCTTTTGGTATTAATACTCTTGGATAGTATCTTGTTTGTCTTGTCAACTAAGAAAAAAAAACAAAAAAAACAATCAAACAAACCCAAAAATGAGAGTTGTGAGTTTCAGTTTTCTTTGGGGACTTACTGAGGACTGTAGCCGACGAGACAGCCTCTCAGTCCTGAGGAACTGCTCTGAAGAGGTGGAGGGAGTTGGGGGAGAGGTCAGTATATGTGTAATTCTGGTGAAAGTGTTCATGCAATCAAGCACACATCTCGGTAGAAGGTTGCTGCTAGTCACAAGGAACAGATATCTTAGTCAATGGTTTTAGTGCTTTTCTAATTACGGGAAGATGCAAGAATCAGGTTCATAAAAGTTCTTCCTGAACATATCTAACTATCTAAAGGCCTGTTCTATCAGTTTTCCCAAAGCACAGTGTCTCAGCCTAATCTCCCCCCTGAACCCCTTTCAGGCTGCACTGTAGGTAGAACTGGATAGTAAGCAACATTCTTTGTTTTACTCTTTACTTGCTGATTGCTTTTCTTGAATAGACCCTAGTTTTTTCGGAGGTGGGGTAGGGTTATAGGAATGGGGGCAGGGCCTTTATTTTGTCTGACTTGAATCTATAAATATTTTTTGAATGAGTGAATAGCTTAGTACTGGGAGGTAGTTTGTTGTTGTTATTATTATTAATCCTTGTTTTGCAAATGAGGAAACTGAGCCCAGAGAGGTTAAGGCCCCTGCTCAGGCTCTTACAAGACAAGCCTGGGTCTACCTGACTGGAAGCAAGCACTCTGAACAAGCTACTGTCCTGTTCTTTCTTGCCTCTTCCTTATGGTCTTGGTTTACAGTCACTGTGTCTCTGGCTTTGCACAATCTCCTCCAAAGCCCTCCAGATGGAGATGTCAGGCACTCTAATTCCCAAGGGATGTGCCCCCTCATTGAGAGGTTCTCCTAAGTGGCCAGGAGATCTGACCTTTTACTGCCCAAGACCATTGACTTCTTGTGTGAAGGAGTGTGCCTGAGGCTGAGAGAATGGAGACTTTAGGAGCTGGGAGGAAATGATGTAGGGCTGCACCCCGAAGTCCTGCAGTCCTTGCAATCGCCCAGCCATGAGACTGAAGAAAGAACCCAGAGGGAGTCAGGGACAGAGGCATCAACTATTGGACAGGGAATCTTGCAAGTCAGAGGCAAATGTCCTGGAACGACCCCCAACTGTGTACGGATGGCAGCTGGCAGGGCACAGCTGCAATCTCCGCTACGCAGGGGAGGAGGAGGCTATTAGTTACAGGGGGCATGACGTCAGAAGGGCTCCTTAGTTGCCAGGGGGACTGTTGGAGCCTCCCCCCCTCCCCCGCAGCTCTTTGGGTTAGTAACCCTTGCAAGGGGGCCACTGTTTCCTGTTGATAACTGAACATACTGGAGCCGTTCTACTTCGAGGACTAGAAACATCATTAGCTGGGTGTCCAGCCGATCATGCAGGTAGCTGCTGATTAACCTTTCACCTTATACATATACACAATGGAATATTACTCAGCCATTAAAAAGAATGAAATAATGCCATTTGCAGCAACATGGATGACATGGAGATTGTCAGTCATCTGAACGAAGTTAAGTCAGACAGAGAAAGAGAAATATCATAGGATATGCAGAATCTAAAAAGAAATGATACAAATGAACTTATTTACCAAACAAAAACAGACTCACAGACTTAGGAAAGCAACTTATTGTTACCAGTGGGGAAGGGTGGAGAAAATGAACTTATTGTTACCAGTGGGGAAGGGTGAACAGAAGGGATAGTTAGGGAGTTTGGAATTGACAAAATAAAGGCCCTGCCCCCATTCCTATAACCCTACCCCACCTCCACAAAAACCAGGGACTATTCAAGAAAAGCAATCAGCAAGTAAAGAGTAGAACAAAGAATGTTGCCCACCATCCAGTTCTACCTACAGTGCAGCCTGAAAGGGGTTCAGGGAGGAGATTAGGATGAGACGCTCTGTGCTCTGGGAAAACTGACAGAACAGGCCTTAGATATTTAGATATGTTCAGGAAGAATTTTTATGAACCTGATTCTTGCATCTTCCCGTAATTAGAAAAGCACTAAAGCCATTGACTAAGGTATCTGTTCTTTGTGACTAGCAGCAACCTTCTACCGAGATGTGTGCTTGATTTCATGAACCCTTTCATTAGTTTGACACCTCTTATACCTCTGAGGGAACAGCCTCAGGACAAGTCCTCTCACTCAGGGGGCCTGAAATTGCACTTGTGTATAATGAAGAGGTTGTGCTAGATGAGAGAGGGAAGGGATTATCAGAATGGGAGGAAGGTGTGCAATTAGAAAAGCATATTAAAAGATCAGGTAAAGTCTAGAGCTTAGTTAATACATCAATGCTGGTTCCTAGTTTTTATTTAAAAATGCCCTTATATCTTAATGTTAACAACGGGGAAACTAGGAGAGAGTTTTGCACTATTTTTGCAACTTTTCTGTAATCTAAAAATTCCAAAATTAAAAATTTCTTTTAAAAGATGATTAGGTTGTTTTAAATTCTATTAATGCGTTCATTTACTCAACAAAGATTGCCTATTATGTGTCACATTACTAGTGACCAGGAGTCATGGTTCCACCCCTTGTGGGGTTTACAATCTAGCGGTAATTTGGCAGGAATAGGGTCCCTATTGCTTTAAAAAAAATTAAACCTCAACTACAAAGTGTAGTAGCTTAGGGACATCTTGGCTGATGAGGTATATATAAGCAGAATCCTTGCTCTATCACTTCTTAGCTGTGTGACCTTGGCAAAGCTAACCTGCCTTATCATGTATGTTTCCTCAGTGGTAAAGTGGGGCAAAAAAATGGATTCCCTCGTTAAGTGCTTAACAGCGCTTGGCATGCATTAAAGCGCTTACTAAAAATTATCATTATCATTATAATAATTATTTAAAAGACACAGTGATTTGTAACTGTAACAGCTGTAACTGTAATTTGTAACTGTAACAGCTAAGGGGAAGCGTAGTATCGACAGGAAGCATGATATTTTTGTCAAGAAGGACTTGGGCGAACGAAAACATGACGGCCCAGCAGTGACGGTTCACAGCGTGAGCTCAGAAACAACAGCCCCGCCCCTCCCTCGCACTCCGGCCCCGCCCCGCCCCGTACTCGACCCGCCCCTTTTCTCCTCAGGCTTTGCCTTCGCCACTGAAGGCGTGGCCTGTCGCCCAAGGGCGAAGTGCGGGGCTAAAAGAGGAACCTTTGGGGGGGGCGGAGCCGGGAGAGCTCTGTCCAATCCCCGGCTCCGAAATCTCAGCTCCGGAGGGGGCGGAACGCACGAGGAAGTGGGCGCACTCAGCTTTGCCTAGCAATACACAGCTTTGCATAACCAATACAGGCAGACATTTAAAGGCGTCGTAGCCTCCACGAAACTTGTAGTTAACCCGGTGAGGACCTACCCTTTGCGATGAACCCTCTGATGCAGGCTCCTCTCCTCATCTCCCTGGGCTTGCTTCTCGCCGGCCCAGCGGCTGCTGCACGCGTCTTCTCGAACCGGGTGAGCATCCTATCCTTTAGGAGGCTGCTTCCAGCATCCCAGCCCAGCTTGGGATGTGCGGGCTGGGGTGGGATATGGTGGTGGCCTCTCCGGTCTCCAGAATTACTTCTTTGCAGCAGAGCCTCCCAGAGTCACTAACTGTGGGACTCTGAGTGGGTCCTTTGTTCTCTGCGGGTTTCAGTTTCCCCATCTGTACAGAGGGGTGGGCTGTAAGGCTTTGCTCTGCTCCAGACTGTTTTGGAAGGGTTAATCTCAGTCCCGTCTGTACTCCTGTCCTCTTTCCAAACGTCTGAGTGAAATTTTACGGAACTGCAACACCAAGGCTCTAATCCCAGGCCCAGAGACGCAGCCCCGTTTACGTGCCCTCTCTTTTCCGCCAGGAAAATGCCTGGTACCTTTCCCCTCCCCTCAGTACTGCTCTGAGGCTCTGCTCCTCCTCGTGGGTGGGTGGGTTTGAGAGGCTTTCCAGGCCAGAAGGTCCATACTTGCTCCTCTGGCGACAAAGGTGCAGCCCTGCTCCTGGGTGTGAGGCATGGAGAGGCAACAGCCTACACGCTTCTCCCTTATCTTCTCAGTTACCCTGTGCTCCAGACCCTGGGGAAGGGGAAGTTCTGTCATTCTGAGAAGTAGAGAAGCCTAGTTCCATGGCCTCTTTGCTGCATACCTGGGAGCCAGACACTTAGTATCTCTGGCAGCAGTCAAAGAGAGAGGCCCAGCCTAGGTCCCCTCCTGCCAACCTCCTTGGAAATATTTGTCAGAGCCAGGAACAGGGCGATGTGAGGGAAAGTGGGATAGGACTAGGAGGCTTGGCTTCTGATTCCTCCTCTGTCTGTAATCCATGGGAGTGGCGTTTGGGTTCCTTAAGCCTTGGTCTCCTTATCTGTACAATGGGCTGGATAGTGCCAACCTGCCTTTCTTTGATGGTTGTGGGTGAAGGGAAATGCTTCCATGGATGGAAAAGCTCTTATATCTTAAACTCATAAAGTGATAGAAGCCAGTGGGTTCGGCCTCACCCTGCCCCAGGGGCGAGGAGTCTATTTTGCCTATTGAATGGAGGAGCAAAGAACTCTTGGCCTTATAGGCCCAGAGGGTTCACAGTTAGTCCCTGAGTGTAGGTTGAGAATGTTTCTCTTGGCTCCAGGTCTGACCACTATGAGGTGGTGTGGCTAAGTCTGGAACCAGTCCTACATCCCCACTCTCCTACATGTCTTGGCTGTGGATGCTGTCCCAGACCAGAGGGTCTTACATTGGCAGTTTTAGAGAGGCCATGAGACATCAGGGAGTTCACCCACCTTACCCAGCCCCATAGAGGATAGGGCACTCATCTGAGATTACACAGCAAGGGGCACTTTCCATTCTTATCTGCTATCACCAGGTCTTCTCTGGGCTCCTGTGATTCGGAACCCTTACCCTGAAACCCTGGGCCACATGAAGGCTGTGGGGTGATAGTGAGTGTTTGAGCATCAGGAAACCGGGAGTTCCAGTTCCTCCAATAGCATTAACCCGGTCTCATGACCCTGGGCTGTGGTAATGCTTAGATAAAAGGGGAGAATGTCTAGCCCCAGGCTGGGTGCAAAATAGGTACTTAATAGACTCTCTGATAACTGTCTAATGTCATTTATTGTGCACATACTATGTGCTATGTGTTGAGCCAGGTGCTTTGCTCTTTATTTCCCTAATAAACTTTTTTAGGGGAGTAATTTTATAGTTACAGAAAAGTTGCAAAGACAGTACAGAGTTCCCACACACTCCTCACTCCGTTTCCCCTAATGTTAACATCTTGTATTACCATGGTACATTTGTCAAGACTGAGAAACCAACATAGGCACATTACCACTAGCTAAACTCTAGACTTTATTTGGATTCTACCAGTTTTCCCATTAACATCCTCTTTCTCTTCCAGGATCCAATCTCGGGCACCACGTTGCATGTGTTGTCCTGTCTCCCCAGTCTCCTCTGGTCTGTGACAGTTTCTCAGACTTGTGTTTTCATGGCCGTGACAGTGTTGAGGAGTTGTGACCTGTACTTTCTGTATACAAACTTCTCACTCTTACAGTAGCCCTGTAAGAAGATATAGTTATGCCCATTTAATATATGAGGAAATTGAGCCTCAAGAGGGGTCAACTGACGCATGTTCTCAGCTAGTGAGAGTGGCTGAGGTATGGTTTTAATCCAGGTCTGTGATTTGGACCCATATTTCTGCCTCCACAGCTGTGCCTTTGCCCTCTGCCATACGTTGCCTCTTCCCACACGTTAGCCTAGGCTGGGATGACAAATATCTGGTGCCAGGCCTGCCCTTAGTGGGCATTGCTAACACATCATGCTTCCTTTTCCGGATGAGACTGGACTCAGCTGCAGAATTCACTGCGACAGAAGCCTCTAGTCAGCCATCGAGAAACCACCTTGTTAAGTCTCCCCAGAGCCTGAGGGAAGGAGGAGCGGGGTACTCTGGACACTTCCTCCAGCCTGGAATCAATCCTCGCTGTGAATCAGACTGCCTTGGAATTTGTGAAAGCAGCTCTAGAAAATGGCTAGTCCTCCTACCCACCCTCCAGCCCAACTCTTAATCCCAGCCATGCTTTCATTTGATACTGGCCTTCTAACTGATCTCCCGTGTTCTAAACTTGACCCTCTGCAGTCCATTCTCAACCATAAACCAGAGCATGGCCCTCTCCTGCAATGGCGTTCCATTGCACTTATAGGAAATCCAACCTCCTGTGGATGACCTATGAGGTCTGGCATGAATTAAATGACCCTGCCACCCCTCTAAGCTTACTTGGGTGCCTCATTCACTACGTCTAGCCCACTGGCCTTGTAGGGCCCAGAGCAGCTGAGCATCTTGCCAGTGCGGGGCCTTTGCCCATGTTCCCTCTGCCTGAACATTCTTTCAGTACTTGCATGGCTGACTCCTCATCCTGCAGGATTATAACTTCCTCATCACCCTATTTAAGTGAGTCTTTTGTTACTCTCAACACGACCCTCTGTTTGTTTCTTTTATAGCACCCAGAGATCATAGTGGGTAATAGTTATTTACATTGGACTGTAAGCTCCTCACCGAAGGGCAGGCACATTTCTAATCGTCTACCTCTATGAACAGCCCTTGGCCCCGGGCCTGTGATCACTGCTTCATGAATATCTGCGGAATGGATGTTGAAGGAAACATTTGTTGGTAACTACCCTGTCTAAGGGGCTGTGGGGAATGCAGGGATGAATCAGGCCTTTCTTAGTCATGGCCCAATGCTTCATTCCAAGGGACAGAAGCCCATTTCAAGAAGCCCAAGTAAAGGGAAGTTTATTCCAGGTATACAAGGAATCTCATGGAACTAATGGCAGGAAGTGGTGGCTGGGATGTCTAATGGCTATCGTTTAGGGAGCCAGCTCATGCTTTGTGCCTGGCATTGTGTTATGAGCTTTATGTACATGCTCTCACCCTCGCAACAGGTCTGGGAGGAAAGTAGAAATGACTGTACTTAACAGATGTGGAAGTTGCAGCTCCAAAGGGGAAACTGGCCTGTAGAGTCACATGATATGGTGGTTGAGCTATGATTTCAAGCCATGTCTACCAACTAAAGCCTTGATTTACCTATATCTTAGTCTAAAACCATGCCCCTGGCTGTTCCCCCTCGCTGCCTATTTAGATAGGGGGCCGGAGGCAGGGGCGACTGTTCTCTTTTCCACAGACCAGCAGAGCCCTTAGCTCTTGTCCCTTTGGCTTGGTCATGAGTCTAGGTGTTCTGGCTCTGATTCAAAGCTTATGACCCCATGACAGCTCAAAGCCCAAAGGCCTCTGAATGATTTTGCCTCTGTCTCACTTCCCAAATTGGAGGCAGAGAGAATCTGTCCGCCTGGCCTGGGTTAAGTATTCTCTTTTGGCCCACCTACCTGTGGCTGTGTTGATGACAGGGGTCAACTTGGGGACGTGATACTGGCAAGTTTTCCTTCTAAGATGGGATGTGCGTGGTGGGAATGCTGAAAGTCTCTCGTAGGTGGCCTTCAGGGGGCTGGGAAAGGTGTGAGTGGGTGGGCAGAGTCTGCACGGTATAGGAAGTGCTGAAGATCATAGACAGGGTTCTGTGGGAGTGGGGAGTCAGTGGTCATGTGTAGTCGGACACGATGGTGGAACCAGGAATCAGGAGACCTCTTGGGGGATGTGGAGGAAGAGGAGGAGATATGGCTTAGCAGAGGGGAGGGGAAGGACGTGGGGTGCGGGACAGGGCAGGGCATGCGCAATGGGAGTTAAGAAAGCACTGGTTAGGATTGCGCAAGTTTCTTCACTAGGGATTGTTCATCAACAGATGGCCCACTGGAGATCTTTTCAGGTGTGTCCTAGTCCCTCCCTGGGCTAATTGTGCCTCCTTGAGGGTAGGGTGTTAGATGTTGTTATGCTTCCCACTGTGTTTTGTGTTCCCTATTGTTCCTGGCCCTGGATTGGGCCTGGGCTGTGACGTGAATAAGGTTCTGGGCATGGGCTGCAAAGCCGAATCCTCCAAAAGCCTCCCTCTAAGGAGATGCCAAGACGAGTTGGAGAGGAGTGGGGAGCAGGGAGGTGAGAGATCAGAGAAGGTATCTACTAAAGGTGGATATGGTTAGTCTCCTATTTTGAAGTTCAAGGTCTGTGATTCTGTGCTCTATAGTTCACAGCACGCTTTTGGGAGGTTGTCTTTTAGTTTAGTCCTGCCTATGAAATGGGTAGGACCGGTGTTACTCCAGGTTTACAGATGTGGAGTTGCAGATGAAGCTCATAGAGGGCAGGTACCTCGCCGACGGGCACACTGTCAGTAAACTGCTCTGTTAATCCTTCTAACCTGTGACAGTTCCTTGTGTCAACTTTTCTTTCCTCTTCTTTTCTTGCTGCCTTATTGTCCTTAGCTCTCCCAGGTCAGTAGCTTTTCCTGGGATAACTGCGATGAGGGGAAGGACCCTGTGGTGATCAACAGCCTGACTGTGGAACCTGACCCCGTTGTCATTCCTGGGAACATGACCATCAGTGCTGAGGTCAGGACCACTGCGTACCTCAAAGATCCTCTGAAGGTGAGCCCAGGGGTGGGCAGGGTCAGGGAGGTGCTGGAGGGAAGGTGCTATGGGCCAGAGGGAGGGCCCTGAGGCATGTATGCTCAGGGAACTGAATAATTTTGGAATCCTGGAATCCCAGAGCAGCAAAAGAAGCATAGATTTGTTAAATGTCCTTTCATAAGTTTATTTGCCTTTTGTATTTTTGTTTAGGAATAACCAGTTCATTCATGCCTGTTGCCTGTTTTGGGGGTGGATATTTGCATGTTTTCATACAGAACAATAGAAACTTTCTATGTATCCATTGCAACTCCATATATTGTAGTCCTTTCCTCACTGGTTTGCATTGCTACCTTTATACCATATTATTATTTCTTTAAATATTTATTTGTTTATTTGGCTGCATCAGGTCTTAGTTGCGGCATGCGGGCTCTTCATTGCAGGGCACGGGGCTTCTCTCTAGTTGTGGCATGTGGGCTCCAGAGCACGTGGGCTTAGTAGTTGTGACATATACTGTATTCTTGTATGCCTTCAGCCTGTCCTGGTGCAGATCTCTTCTGGCACCAGTTTCCTTTTGACTCTTTAAAAGGATTTCTGATTTGGAATCTGTGTACCTGAAACTACCCTTCGACTTGGTTAATCACAGCCTCTACCTCATACATTTCTCTGAGCGATTACTGAGTTAATAACACGGATAGTTCCTTGCACAGGGCCTGGCACACGAGACCAGCTCGGTACATGTTAGCCCTTGTTAATATTTCCGTTAGTATCAACCTCTTCCTGTGGCTTCTTTGACCCAGACAGAGTCCTGTACGTGCAAACAGCTCTCGGGCTTTGCTTCGCCCAGCACCTCTTCCCAAGTCCTCTCCAGGCTCGGTCACTGCATTTTCTTTAGCTGTGCTTCAGGTGATTTTCTACCAGGGTCACATTTCTACACTACCTCCACTGAGTCTGGAGCAAAGAGCTCTTTAGCGAGCTGGCCATCATGCTTGCTTTCCTGCCACTGCCATGCAAACTGCAGACGTTTCCAAGAACACTGATGCAGTACAACTGACTTGGAAGGAAAAAGCTGGTGAACTCCTTTTTCTTCCCCCAGACTTTTTCTGGCTTCTTTGTAGGCCATTAAGATGGGTCCCCCCCCCACCCATTTTCTATTATAGATCTTCCTCAACTTACGTCCCAGTGAACCTAGCATAAGTTGAAAAATCTCGTTAAGTCGAAAATGCACTTAATACACCTAACCTACAAAACATCACAGCTTAGCCTCGCCTACCTTAACCACACTCAGAACAAGTACATGAGCCTACAGTTGGGCAAAATCATTTAACACAAAGCCTATTTTATGATAAGGTGTTGAATATTGAATACTGTACTGAAAGTGAAAACCAGAATGGTTGTCTGGGTACAGAATGGTTTAAGTTGTTTACCCTCGTGATCGCATGGCTGATTGGAAGCTGTGGCTTCCTGTCACTGCCCAGCATCACCAGAGAGAATAGTACTGCATATTGCTAGCCCTGAAAAAGATCACAATTCATAACAGGAAGTGCAGTTTCTACCGAATGTGCATTGCTTCTGTACCATCGTAAAGTTGAAAAATTGTAAGTTGAACCATCGTCAGTCTGTACTTTATTACCTGTCATAGATTTGGGCCATTGAGCTTTTAAAAATTGGACTCAGATTCCCACTGCCCCTTCCCTTCCTCCTACATTTCTCTTATGTATATAGTTTTGATTTGGTTCCTTTATCTTTTTAGGGTATGTGCATACTAGCTATTAAATGAAAGCCTCTCACCACTTGGGTAGGAGAAAAGATGATGAGTCTCTTTTTACAGATAAGGGACACTGAAGCTCAGAGAAGGATACAACTTGCCCCAGGTCAGCATTCAAGGCTGGTGTCCTTATCTGTCTAATGTTTCCTATTCCTGAGCTCTTTCTGGCAGGGAGGTGGAATTAATGCTTGGAGTTTTAGCAGGGGAGTATGCCAGGATTTTCCCCTTGACAGCAAAGACCCCCGCCCCCCAGGAGAGCTGCTAGGACGCAAGCACTGTATGAGCCTGAAGGGGTTACTGGGGCCCAGAGAGGAGTGACTGGTCCAGGCCACGCACCTGTTAGTGGCAGGAGAGAAACCTCCTCCTCTTCTGACCTTGCTGAAGTGAAATTTCTTCAATCAAAAGTCCCATTTGGGGCTTCCCTGGTGGCACAGTGGTTAAGAATCCGCGTGCCTGGAGCCTGAGCTCTGCAACAAGAGAAGCCACTGCAGTGAGAAGCCCGGGCACTGCAACGAAGGGTAGCCCCAGCTCGCCGCAACTAGAGAAAGCCCACGTGCAGCAATGAAGACTCAACGCAGCCAAAAATAGATAAATTAAATAAATTAAACAAAAAATTAAGGGGAAAAAAAAGTCCCATTTGGAACCTGGATGGACTTGATGCCAGCTACAATTTTTAGAAGTTGGATGCGCCAGATTCTGTGAGCCATGGGCAAGGTTAGAGTCTGTCCAGGAACACCTTTTTCTTTTGATGTGTTCCACAGGATTTGGCATAATTTAGAACTCCCTTCTTTGAGCTCTCAAGTTCCAGCCTCTGAGACCTTGGTTTCCCCATCCTCAGGAATTGTAAATTGCTACCACATTTGGCATGTACACTTATTTCAGGCTTTTAGACACGTAGCTTTCAGCTTTACCTTTTTTTTCCCCTCTAAAGTCCTGTACCTGCAATGCCCCTGCCTGAGCCCTGTGATTGAGATATAACTGCCCCTTCCCTGATCTCATCAAAATGTCTCCCCTTCAAGTCAGTTGCTAACAGTGGGTCTTTTTTTTTTTTAATTAATTTATTTTATTTTTGGCTGCATTGGGTCTTTGTTGCTGTGTGTGGGCTTTCTCTAGTTGTGGCGAGCGGGGGCTACTCTTCGTTGCGGTGCATGTGCTTCTCATTGCAGTGGCTTCTCTTGTTGTGGAGCACAGGCTCTAGGAACGTGGGCTTCAATAGTTGTGGCATACAGGCTCAGTAGTTGTGGCTTGTGGGCTCTACAGCGCAGGCTCAGTAGTTGTGGCGCACAGGCTTAGTTGCCCCACGGCATGTGGGATCTTCCTGGACCAGGGCTCGAACCCGTGTCCCCTGCACTGGCAGGCAGATTCTTAACCACTACACCACCAAGGAAGCCCCTATCAGTGGGTCTTTATCTAGAGCCTTGTGTGCCTAGCCCTGAGCTAGAGGCCAAGAGAAAAGTCATTGTTTTCAACTTGCCAGAAACTTGGACTCTTAGGATGTTAGAATTGGTAGGTCTCTTCAAGATCATGAGATCCAAATACTCCATGGTCAAGGTGGAGGAGCAGAGGCCTGAGGGGGGAAGGGACTTGCCCAAGCGCCCTGGTGGGTACAGGGATCATGATTCCATTACCCGTCAGTGCCTCTGTCTGTCTTGTGGAACCAGGTGCCATGACACAGGGGTTTATTTAGGTTGAGCTGTGGAGGTGCTAAGGTAGTCCTGGAATAGAGGGATTGATGGTCCCTTATTACTCAGCTTTGCTTGAATTTTTTTTTTTTTTTTTGGCCACGCCACACGTCTTGTGGGATCTTAGTTCCCCAACCAGGGATTGAACTCAGGCCCATGGCAGTGAAAGCACCAAGTCCTAACCACTGGACCACCCAGGGAACTCCCCCTGCTTGCTCTTCTGAGCCATATGAACAAGTAGACTGAGAACAAGGACTGGAAAATCAGCCATGGTTTGTAATCCCCAAACGGCAGGCATGGCTGTTGCCTTAAGTTCGGGGTGCCCCCACTGAGTACCTCCTGTGCTGTGCTTGTCCTGGCTGGGGGAGGCCTGGCTCCTGGTGGATGCAGCCCCACAGGCTTCCAGTGTGGTGGGAGGAGCCCAGGCAGGACTTGGTCCCCGCTGGTCCCCTCAGCTGGGTGTTCTTTCTTGTTCAGGGCGGAACTGGCTCAACCATTTTCATTGGGGTGTTAGCAAAACAAGGAGGGGTATGGAGGGGAGAAGTCCAGCAGGAAGTAATTTTTGGATTTCAGGCACTATGCTAAGTGTTTGACAGGCATTGTCTCACTCAGAGGGACCTTGTGAGAGAGGCAGACACTCTTACAGTATCCCATTTTGGAGATAAGGGAATGGAGACAGAAGAAATTCCCCAAGGGCACAAGAGTAGGAAGTGGCCCAAGTTGCATTCTCTTCCAGGCCCTCAGCTCTTTCTAGGCAAAGGAGTTGAAGCAGGCTTGGCAGGAGAGGAGACAGGAGGGCTGGGAGGGGACCGTGCATGACTCGGGGTGGGGAATAACGTGTGGGTCAGCAGAGTGGGATGAGGCAAATTTGAGTTTGTCCACTCAGGATACAGGCTGCGTGGACTTATCCCTTCCACCTGGACCTGGATCCTGACACCTGGGGCAGTTGGAAGACTGAGTCCACAGCCTGGGGAGCCAGCCTGAGCCCAGCAGGCTCAAGGGGAATAGTGCCCGTCCAGGATTTGTCTCTTAGAAACAAAAGCCCTGAATCAAGTGTTGGGGGCTGGGATTCATAGGATGCTGTGATATTACAGCCGAGAGTGGTTTCCTGCCATTACACCCACAGAGAATCCTCCTGCCCTTTCCCGACACTCTTCGCTGACACCTTTGGGGGGATACAATCGTGGTCCCTAAGGCACCACTCATTTGGCTCTTAGGCAGCTAATACTTAGTGAATGCTTAGCCCGTGCCAGGCACAACTGGTCAGCCCCCACCTCCAGAACAGGAGCAGAATCGTGGCAGCATAGAGGTGTGAGGTACTCACAGATCTCCCCATCCAGCTTCTCTCTGGGTGCAGGAGTCCTTTTGTAGCTTCCCCAACAGGGTCCAGGCAGCCCATCTCTTCTAGAGGTAGTTCCATCTCTTGTAACTTCACTATGATTGTTCAGATCTTCCTAATAGCAATCCCAGAATGATCCCTCTGTAAATTCCTGTTGTTTTCACTTCTGTCTTCTGTGGCTGTACAGAGAAAATAGGATCCAAGAATAGCAGATGGGTTTCATCTTGGTAACCAACTCCAATCAGTTGGTGGTAGCTGCCTGAAGTCCTCTGAAGGAAAAGGTTCTGCAGCTAAGATTGGGCTGAGAAGGAAAGTCTAGAAGCAGTGCCACAGTTAGCCAATTAGCAGTTAGATGACAAGTGCATTTCAACTTCAACCAATGGGTAGTGACGACCTAAAGAATTATAAGACTGTGTGGTTCAGTGCAGGGAGAAAAAAGTTACATTTGATTATTAATGTCAGCCATGGGCACAGGAAAGGGTAGTGTTGGAGCACGTGCCACAATACTGTCATTTCTCGATCAGGATATCTCCCAGATCCCAACCAATTAAAAACTCTGTTAAAATAAAAGGCTGACCTTTTAAAGAGGCAGAGGAACTCGTATGTTTGCCTTGGAATTTTACACTTTCTCCAACTCTCTCACCAGGTGGTACTAACTCTGGAGAAGGAAGTGGCTGGCTTTTGGGTCAAAGTCCCATGTATGGAGCAACTTGGCAGCTGCACCTACGAGAACTTCTGTAATGTGCTTGAAGTGTTAACTCCCGATGAGAATCCCTGCCCAGAACCCCTGCACACCTATGGGCTTCCCTGTCACTGTCCCTTCAAACAAGTAAGTATAGGGAGGGGAGAGCATTCCCACCACGACTAGAGTAGAGACATGGGGTTTGGAGATGTTCTCTTGCAGACCTGGATGTCTGTGGGTGTAAATTGATATGATCTATCCTGAATCACTTATCTTTTGGGGACCTCGGTTTATCCAACTGTGAATGGGAGACCTGAAGCTCGATCTGACCTCTGGTGTCCTTTTGCTATCACATTCTATGATCTACATGGCTCTTAGGAGAGTGGGAGGAGGGGCAGTTTGCACCTGCAATCCTAGAGGTCACTCCAGGTGAGGGTCCCATCTGTAGGCTCTCACTGACCTGTGGTCCACTGCCTTTCCCACAGGGTACCTACTCACTTCCCAAGTCTGACTTCTTCCTGCCTGACCTGGAGCTGCCCAGCTGGCTCAGCAGTGGGAACTACTGCTCGAAGATCATGCTAAGCATCAACGGGGAGCATCTGGGCTGTGTCAAAATCTCCGCCTCCCTAAAGGGCAAATAAGGTGGCACCTGCCACAGCAGAATGAAGGGGATGTGAGGAAGGCATCCTCTTCTTCTGTCTTAACGTTAGCCAAGGCCAGATTCTACTCTCCGTCCTTTCTCAAACCCCTTTCTACAATGATGACACTCCCCCGCTGAAAGTCATTTTATGCCACCTACAAAATTTTTAGGTGTGGGCCAGCAGCCCTAACCTAACGGAGGATGAGCCTCGTGGTTTTTTGGGGTTTTTTTTGGGGTTTCTTTTTGTGGTATGCAGGCCTCTCACTGTTGTGGCCTCTCCCGTTGCGGAGCACAGGCTCCGGACGCGCAGGCTCAGCGGCCATGGCTCACGGGCCCAGCCGCTCCGCGGCATGTGGGATCTTCCCGGACCGGGGCACGAACCCGTGTCCCCTGCGTCGGCAGGCGGATTCTCAACCATTGCGCCACCAGGGAAGCCCCGAGTCTGGTGGTTTTTGACAGCCCAGGACATCTACTGGGCTGGCCACCGCATTTTCCTCCTCACCCCCATGGCTTTCTCTCTAAGAGCTCAGCTTATTTTCTAAACGGTCAAGGAAGGGGGCTAACACGTTTTGTGACCCCACATTCAGGCTGACCCAGTCTTGGTCTCCTGAAGTACCTTTATGATTTTTCTCATTGATTTTTTGTGTGCGTCGCTGACCTAAAAGCAGAGTGAGAGTACTAACAGTTTTCATTTTACTCCCACCCCATCTTACAATGAAGGGTCTGAGGGAGTCGATCTCAGTCTCTTCCTCCATTAACATCTATGATTTAGTGTTCTTTTCTAGACTTGCCCAGTTAACAGTGGGGCACAGTGTATCCTGGAGAGGCAGGGCATGTGATGGGAGCGATACCTGAGAATGCTCTGTGTTTAAGACAGTCTGCGAACTCAGGTACCTGCAGGGCAAAGCGCAAGACATCAGTATGTGATGAGGACCACGAGGAACATGCTGTTTGCGGGCACATCTTCCATTTTTTCCTTTGTATAACATATCCGAGGCAGCTGCTGCCCAGTCTCGAGCTGGGGGTATAATCAGCGATGTGGGGACTGGGGTGAGTTGGGAAGGGCACATCTGGTCCGTAGGGACAGCTGCTATCTAGCTATAGCCAGTGAGTACCACAGGAGAGTATGGGCCCAGCATTGCCAAATATTCTCAATTTCTTTTTCCCTCGAGAAGCCGGAAATCCAGACTTTTATATGAAATCAATTTTTAAATATTGGCAACGAATTATTTTTTTAAATACTGAGCAGGCAGAAGGGGCCAAACATACTTGTCACTGGGGAAATCTGGTTGGCTCATGGGTGGCCAGTTCTTGGCCTTGGATATAAGAACATGCATGCCTTGTCCTTTTAACCTTGAGACAACTCCTCCACCACTGTGTCTCCCTCCATCGGGTCAAAGCCATAGTGCCTGACCCTAGAATGCTCCTCCAGTGCTGGGGGAGTGGAGGTGGCCTCAGAGCTGTGAGCTCAGGGATCACGAGGCTGCCTGCCCTGGCCTTGGAGCACTGTCAGGGTGAGTGGGGCGGACCCGCCAGCAGCCACTCTGTGGAGCAGGGATCCAGCGAAGAGAGGTGGACTCATGTCACGTGCCTGGCTTTGTTCACTGTCCTGTCCTCTCATGACAACTTAATCACCCATGACCAGCCCCGGGTTCTGGGCTCACATGAAGGCTAGAATTGTAATAAATCTTTTTAACTTGAGGAGAATTCCTCCTTTGTTGTGGCTGCATATTTTCTCATTGATCCCATCTCAGGATTTCTTTCTTTTTTTTTTTTAAACATCTCTATTGGAGTATAATTGCTTTACAATGGTGTGTTAGTTTCTGCTTTATAACAAAGTGAATCAGTTATACATATACATATGTTCCCATATCTCTTCCCTCTTGCGTCTCCCTCCCTCCCACCCTCCCTATCCCACCCCTCTAGGTGGTCACAAAGCACCGAGCTGATCTCCCTGTGCTATGCGGCTGCTTCCCACTAGCTATCTATTTTACATTTGGTAGTGTATATATGTCCATGCCACTCTCTCACTTCATCCCAGCTTACCCTTCCCCCTCCCTGTGTCCTCAAGTCCATTCTCTACGTCTGCGTCTTTATTCCTGTCGTGCCCCTAGGTTCTTCAGAACCTTTTTTTTTTAGATTCCATATATATGTGTTAGCATATGGTATTTGTTTTTCTCTTTCTGACTTACTTCACTGTATGACAGACTCTAGGTCCATCCACCTCACTACAAATAACTCAATTTCGTTTCTTTTTATGGCTGAGTAATATTCCATTGTATATATGTGCCACATCTTTATCCATTCATCCGATGATGGAAACTTAGGTTGCTTCCATGTCCTGGCGATTGTAAATAGTGCTGCAATGAACATTGTGGTACATGTCTGTTTTTGAATTATGGTTTTCTCAGGGTATATGCCCAGCAGTGGGATTGCTGCGTTGTATGGTAGTTCTATTTTTAGTTTTTAAAGGAACTTCCTTACTGTTCTCCATAGTGGCTGTGTCAATTAAATTCTCACCAACAGTGCAAGAGGGTTCCCTTTTCTCCACACCCTCTCCAGCATTTATTGTTTGTAGATTTTTTGATGATGCCCATTCTGACTGGAGTGACATCTCTGGATTTCTGGAGCTTGTTTTCTAGGCTGTTTCTGCCAGAAGAGTTTGTGGCAGTGCGACAGGCGAGCTGAGGTGATGCCAGGGACTGACTCTTCTGTTTCTGTCTCCTGTGCTGCTTGTTATCTCAGCTTCATTCTGTCTCATCACCATCCAGCTTCCTTGGTTGTTTTTTTTGCCTTCCCATCGCACTGTGACCTCTCCAGCCCCCTTTTTCCCCCTCCTGCATCTTTGAGTTGAGCATTATTCTCCCAGTTGCATCCTTGCACGGAAGGAAGCTCGACAGTTCGGTTAGTCTTTGTGTGCCATGCTCTCGGCTCAGATGCTCCTCCAAGTCTTGGTGGGGGGCAGTGAGAGGTTGTGTGGGGAGATGGTGAGAATCTCAAATCACAGGGAAAAGTGAACTTTTTAATAAATGGTGCTGAGCCAAATGGAAAGCCATTTGGAGAAAGTTGAAATTAGATCTATACTTAATGCCATATGCAAGAATAAACTCCAAGTGAATCCAGGGTCTAAGTGTTAAAAATGAAACCATACAAATACTAAAAGGAAACATGGGTGAAACATCCAGAGGCAATAAAGACTGATAAATTTGACTACTTATGAAAAACATTGCTTGGCAAGAAACACCAGTCAAAAGACTGGAAGAAGATATTTACGGCACATATCATAGACAAAAGGTTAATAATATTCCTACAATAAAGAATTGTCGGGGCTTCCCTGGTGGCACAGTGGTTGAGAATCTGCCTGCTAATGCAGGGGACACGGGTTCAAGCCCTGGTCTGGGAGGATCCCACATGCCGCAGAGCAACTAGGCCCGTGAGCCACAACTATTGAGCCTGCGCATCTGGAGCCTGTGCTCCGCAACAGGAGAGGCCGTGATAGTGAGAGGCCCACGCACTGCGATGAAGAGTGGCCCCTGCTTGCCACAACTAGAGAAAGCCCTCGCACAGAAATGAAGATCCAACACAGCATAAATAAATAAATAAATAAATAAATAAATAAATAAACTCCTACCCCCAACAACAACAAAAAAGAATTGTCAAGGGATCAAAAACCTGATAGAAAAACTGGCAAAAGAATTGAACAGACAAACTCACACAAAGGTATAAAAATGACCCTTAAACATGAAAAAGCTGTTGAAACTCACTTCAAGATCAGAAAAATGTAAACTGAAACAATATTGACATAACATTTGTCATTTCTTGGGTTGGTAAAAAATAAATACGCCACCACAACCCACCAGGCAAGGCTGTGTGGAAACAGGTCCTCTCATACACAGCTGGTAGGAATGCAAACTGATTCAGTCCTTGAGGGGAATTTGTCAGTGTTACTTGTCATGTAAGAAAACAGTGTAAGAAAAATAGACGTGTGTCTGCTCATTTGTACATAAGGAAAAATGAGCCAGGAACTAATGAATTGCTTATTTACAGAGAGTGGAAAGAAGAGGGAAATGATAACAGGTTATAAAGGATGAAGAGGATGGGATGCTTCTGAGTATATCGTTTTGTGTATCTGACTCTTAGAACCATATAATGTTTCTGATTCCCAAATCATGATTAAAATCAACCAGGAGATAAGGGAAATTTAACATGGAATACAAACTAACAAAACCTATTTCAAATAATACAACCACACTGAAGTGGGTGGGGAAAAAATTAAATTACAGTATTTTGATGGGGTACTATAAAGCAACAGAAAAAAGGAACTGCACACAAATACTGAATGTACTCTAATTAGTCAATTAGTTTTTTCACAGGAGTAGCAGTTAGCAATTTTGAAAGTATTTCATGTGTATATTAGGATTGGGAAAATGACTAAGTATATTATGGACACTGAGAGCATAGGGGTATATTGAAAGGACACAGGAACCAACCTGAGCTCTCAGTGGCCAAATCTTGGACAACTTGAGCAAGAAAAGAAATATTGACAGTAATGGGTTATAATCCATTGAATAAACATCCTTGAGTCCATATACAACAGAATCCTAATTAAATGTAGAAGAAATGGGAAAAAAACAACATCATTAGGCAAATGCCATTGTAAGAATTGTTGCAGACAAGAAACATCTATGTGTGCTAAAATTATTGGATAAATGTATGATGAGAAACAGGATTTTGCATGGTCTCAAGATATCTCCTTACAGGATACAATTACAAAGGGGAAAAATATAGTGGAGAAACCTGGCAGACACCACTTAACCAAGTGATCATATATAAAATCACCAGTAATAAGACATACTGACATCGTGCACTTCCCAATATGGTGCACTGATAAAGGACAGTGACACTACTCTGGTATTGCCCAAAATGTATAATCTCAATTTCATCACAAGAAATCACACATGGAGAACAGTATGGAGGTTCCTTAAAAAACTACAAATAGAA